GGGGCGGGGGGAGGGGTATATTGCCTGCAACATATTTTTTGTTTTAATAACTTTGTTACAAAATTAACTTTTTAAATAATCTTTTAAAAAATCTTTTTACTTTAGAAGAAAAGAGGGGGGATGAAGGCCTTATACTAACCTTATAGTATAGACAGCGATGTCTGGTAGCCCTTTATTATTCACAGGATTCTGAAAATAAAACAAACATCAACCTTAAGCAAAAACAGATCTAGAAGCCTCATCCCTTTTTTTCTTAGATCATTATTAGTCATTAGTGCTTTACAGTTTTTAAACAGTTGAACAAGATTATTTTTTTACGACTATCTTGCCTACAAGAACATTGGCACCGCAATACACAGAAATTCACACAGAAATATGTTTTTAAACGGACACGAAAGGTGTTGGACCAAAAAACAAAATTCGAAAAACATTGTCAGACTGGGGGGAAAAACTTGTCTTGGGGGCGCTCATTCTGTTGTTTATGTTGTAAGATTTGAAAATAAGAGTCAAACCTAAAGTGTAATGTCGCGTTTGGTGTAGTCACGAAATGATGATCAATTGTACAACAAATGTGGTCTGGTCATTATTCACCTGCGTATAATGTATTTCATCTTTTTTTTCCCTTATCAATTGGTTCTCTCTCACACACTAGATGAATCACATTTGACAAACTTGTTTTGTAATTCTTAGAATTCACAATTTAAAAAAAAATATCAAGCCCTCAATATTTTATAACAAGGTAGCAAGTCGCCAGTGAACAAACCCTCAATAACGAGTCAGCAAGCTAATCAGCTATGAATATATACCAGATTGATAATTAATGTTATGATTGTCAGACATGGAAAGTGAAGAAAGGGAGTTCGTCAACCAAGCAGTCCGTCAACATAACCATAGTCTAAATTTATTTATAAATTCCAGACTTCCCCCCCAAAATGTCGCCGGGTTTCCACTTTCATTGTCTGGTGAACGCAAAAGCGGTGAGTTCGATTCGGCTGTGGGGGAGGGGATGGTTATATCGAGTATTCTTCGGTCTATTTGCTCCTACATTGTATGATTGTGTTCCTCACAGACATAATAGGCAGAGAAGAAGCATCCCCGTCTCCTAAATTATCGAAATTGGGAAAATGGAATCGTAAAAAATCTTTTAAACATTACATTTTTATAGGTTGCAGCAAGTATTTTTTCTTTTAAAAAGGATCCCTATAAAACATAACATTGGAGTTTTATTCATAAACTTAAATTCTAGAGGGGGAGGAAGGGTTAGGAAGGTAGGTTGGGGGGGGGGGATACCTAACTGTACGAAAAAAAACAACTGGACATCGTTTTAAAATAGACACAGGAATGACACACACAGCGCGATATGCAAGAAGCAGAGATTGAAATTAGAACTGAAACGAGGATGTAACTGCTTTTATTTTTCGAGCAGAGTGAATGGTGAAATAAAAGGTGCGATTTGATATTCTAACTCTGAAATTTTTACTTCGTAATTCTAGTTACTTTAATCGTTCTTACTTGCAAAATAAAACCAAGCCGTGCTGTGATATAATGTGGATGCAATCAGCTTGTGTCCCGCGCACTCGTCTCGTAATATATGTAATTATGAAGTTGCGAGAGCCGTCGTAGAAGTCTTACCAAATGAGCTGCGAAAAAAAAAAGGAGTACATATTCATCATCATCATCATTGCCTTTCTCATCCTGCACCAGGGCATAGGCCACGAACAAACACTTTTCACCTTTCCCTATTTTGGGCTAGCCTCTTGGTGTTATTCCAGAGAACAGATTGGGACTTCACTAAAGCAGGAACTTTCTGTTCGCTGTGATTGTGTCGGTCGACTGGCCACCTGTCACCGTGTCCTTGTGTGCCTTTTGAGCCATACAGTCTGTCGGACAGCGCCTAGGCACAGCAAGAAATGTCCAGTGACCAGAACAGGCTGACAGATCCAAAGTTTGCGCGCGCGCGATGTCTGTGTGTGTGG